GGGTTTAGTTTTGAGTGTTTAGAGGGTTTTAGGTGTCAAATATTTTTTAGMGGTTAGAATTTTAAGATATAGGTTTTATAAATCTATAATTAGTGGCATTTTTTTAAATGGACATCCTTAAATGGCATTTTTGCAAATATGCACACAAAAAGTGATATTTTTGCAATTGCCCCAATATTTAATTGTGGTGAATAAAATTAGAATATATGTTAACATAAATAAAATCAAAGTAAGAATATTACTGCAAAACCATTGATCGAGAATAATATCATTTATTTATTAATGTTTATGTTTTTATTATTTGATTTACAATTAAACTAGATAATTGACCCGCACCGTGTGCGGCTATGAAATGTTTTAGAGAAATAGATAAATTTTAGAATCTAAATAACACGGTTTATTGTTTATAAAAATAAATATGAATGATTGTTATTTTTAAACATTACATGCATATTTTAAACTTTTTTCGTTCCTTTATACTTTTTCATATTTTTCTTCATCTATTATTACTTGTATTTCTTTGTTTTATTTTCCTTTTCTTTTATCTAAGTTTTTTTATTTTTTTTCGAATTGTTTTCTTATTTTTCTTTCCTCTTCTTCATTATTTTTCCTTTTCTTTGTATAATTCCAATTTTCTAATTTTTATTTATACTTTTTCATCGTGTTCTTCTTCTTTTTGTTTGTATTATTTTTTAAAAATCTCAAAATRTAAATTCAGAAAACTAATTAGATGAGATAAAAAAAAGAAGTATAATTAAGAACCGAACAAAAATATTAAAGAGAAGATAATAGTGAGTAGCTTTTTATTCAAATCCCATAAATTTTAAATAACAAAAATCTTTATACTATAGAAAATCTTTGAATGTAATAGAAGATTTATTCATATTGTATTTAATTGAATTTTCTTTTAAACTTTATAATTCATTATTTTGTTGTTGATATTTCTGAAAACTGTTATTTTTATTTTTGGGAGTTTATAATGATTATGTTAAWWATGAAAAAAAAATTGTGTTAAAAATTTGATTAGAGAAAGACCACATGAATTAGAAGAAATCAATGGTCATAATCTGCATTTCTAGCCTTTATCAGTTATATGCATCTTCTTCTTTAGTCATTTAGTTAAAAAATAATAATAGTTTAATTAAGAAAATTACCTATTTAAAATAATAATAATTCAATTTTAGGGATATAGAATTAAAACGTTTATAAAAATATAAAATAATAATAATTTACCTATCATCTTTAAAATTTTTATAAAATTATAAAAGGGGATTAAAAATCTTTCGAAAAGCTTTATTATAAAATTCAGATTGAGTTACTTTAAATCAAAAATTTAGTGATAGATGAAACAGTTTTATCTTATTAGGAAATAGTGAGTCGAGACCCGACTAAACCGATTCCACAAAGAAAATAAGCAAAAACACACTTGAATTGAGGGAGAAAAAGATACAATGTTATATCACATCACGCCTCTGATCAATCTCTAAATCCAAATCTCATATGTTGGATATTCACGTTGACCAATTTTAAAATTAATCGTATGTTTTCCGGTTATAAAGAAAAAAACATATTGCATTTTTTTTTTMCATGAATATGTATGTAATTAATGCAGTAACATATTGTGAATTATTTGGAAAAGAGTGAAAATTTTGTAAATAGATTATCAAAAATTTAAAAATATTTTGTTCTAAATTGGTTTTTAAAAGTTTGAAAGAAGAAACTATAACCATAAAATAGTAGTTTTTAAAAAGAATTTTGGAATGGTTGTTATAAACAAATTTTCGAAATATAAAT